GGGGGGGGGGGCGGCGAGTTCACAACACTGTACTTCAAATGTCTATAGAAAAATTCAGCAATATATAGAGGGAAGGAGGGAGGGAAACAAGCATCAATTTTTGAAGAGCTGCAGCTGACAACAGCTGACAATAACCTTGTCTATATTTATGAAGAATAGTAATCGTGCTCACTTAAAAATATTTACACAGTCTATGAAGAAAAATAACACTGATTTCTAGGAGAATCTTAGTATACCCCCCTGCAGTGCATCTTAACCCATCTACCTCCACATAGCCTAATTTTTACTACATTCTTGTCAACCGTAAAAAAGTTAAGTGGATAAAGATAATTGAGCAGTACAGCTGTGTCTGTCATCAAGAGAACAGCTTGAAGAGTTTTACCCAAATCATTTCTCTACAAATATTTTGACAGTAGTGATCGAGCTAAAGAGGTATACAGAATCATAAATTGTACTTTAATTTCAACATTTCAAAAATAGGTTGATTATAATATGGAAATGCTTAGTAAAAAGAACCATTATGATAGTAACTCCTTAGGGATCTATGATGACAAAAAAAATTAGCTTGTGTGGCTCCTGCCTGTGGAAACCAAACTTGTTTCCCATTTCACAGCTATACAGTTGGTTTACTGTTCTTCAAGGGGTCATACTACTCCTTCAGCATTGTATAACATCAGAGTATTAGGCTTTACATATGACAGTACAGTTCTTGAAACTCCCTCAGATTTTCAGTCCCTAAAATTGGGTTCTGCACCATTCATCTCAAATGATGAATCCGCAAAACTAAAGCACTGGTTTCTCTCTCATCTGGACATGAATGGATGGGTCATGCAGAATTCCATGTCCTCCAGCCAAGAAATCCCAGTGGCATAGACAGGAAGGGAAAGTCAGAAAAAAAAATGCTTTTTCAACTGATGCTCATTAAGCATCTCCAAAGATGCTGCATCATGAATCAGAGTGATAGCATCTGGGGAAATCTCTTCTCTTACAATTTTGGTGGGGGTGGGGGGAGAAAGGATTTATACACCCCATCCAAGGACCCTTTTCACAGCCCGCAAAATGAAGTAACAGATTCAACAATATCTGATGGTTGAGCAAGGCTGTATAGGAGAAGTTTGAAGAGTGGGTTGATTGTCTTTGGTACATATCTCTAAGAACCATTTATTACCCATCAGACTTCACAATTAGGTCCAAACAAATCTAAAAAAAAGTCAACTGGATTTTTTTTGTTTCTTTATACTTTAGCTCTTTAAGACTAAACTTAAAAGAAGTTACAGTCAAAATTATAAAAATCAGCAATCTAACCAAGTACAGTGCCACTCCTAATTTTAGCTATACCATATCCATTAATGAGTTGTCATTATGATGCAGAAATTGAGTAAGCATAGCCTGCCCTTAGAATTAGAAACATATTAATTTTCCCTTTTTACATTTGCTGGAAGATGCATATTCCAGATGGTTTTGAAACTAGTCAAATACAAGTTCTAGTTTCTTTTTAATATGCCCTCCTGGTCTGGTTTTCCATAGTACATCCACCTATTATTTCACTGCTACGTTTTTCACTAAACCACTGGGATGCATTTTTACCTTTGTACCACCTGTCGATATCATCATAAGTTTTTTTCCTTCCGCTCTGAATATCATCTCCAGCTTTAGTTTAGTGCCATCTGTTATACATCTCAGGACTCCTGAGCAGCAGCAGCCACCGCCCTTCTCTTCATAGAGTGATCATTTGGATATATGAAAATCCCCTACTCAGTTTGTATAATTTGGAAAGCATTACACAATCACAAACTACAGTTAATGTTTCTCCACTGACTATTTTACTTACATTTCTTAAACCTGTCTTATTTGCATTACAAGTTGAAGAGTGCTGCATAGAATCAAATCTCTCTCTTCCTGCT